CTCATGACAACCCAAAGCTACCTAATGCTGTCTCACGACTGCAAACAGTGGCAGAACAATAACGTGACAAATACACGAGATAATTTTGTAAAATTGTATTATTGATTATAAAATCATCTGGTGTTGTTTTCTAATAAAATTTTATTTATTCTTAATTAAAGTTATATAACCATTAAAATATATATTATATTTTTCAAATATTATCCTAAAGTAAAAAGTCACACTGTTTTAACCTATTTGCAAGTATTGTTTTTACATGACTCGTGCAGGTGCAGGTCCACAATAAATTATGCTATTAGAGTATATTGACAAAACAAGATAGATTTAAAATCTATTTTAATAATGTTAATATAGTTTATTGTAATCAAAACATATAATGCAAAAACATTTATATAAACTTAAAACAATAAATTATTATAATACAGCAAAACTTAAAACAATAAATTATTATAATACAGCAAAATTTCAAATTCTTTTACCTGTCAATGAATATGCTACAACAATGTTTTCAAAAAAATGTGGGATCTTTATATGATATTCCCGTGGAGGTTGAAAGTTCTATCTTTATCAGATAGATGATCAAAAAATATTTCCCACATTTCTAGTACGTCCATTTTTTATCTAAAAATGTTTAGTTGTAATGAGTATTAAAGTATAAAAGAAATAACTCAAATAATGTTAAAAAATAGTAACATTAAGAAACGTTTGTAGAATTACATACAATTTAAAACAAACTATGCAAACAAATCTATCTTATTTTGTCATCAATATACTCTAATGGTATAATTTATTGTGGACTTGCATATGCACGAGTCATGTAAAAACAATACTCGCAAATAGGTTAAAACAGTGTGACTTTTTACTTTAGGATAATATTTGAAAAGTATAATATATATTTTAATGGTTATATAACTTTTTAATTAAGAATAAATAAAATTTTAGAAAACAACACCAGATGATTTTATGCTCAGTAAGCAAATTGAGTGCAGATTACGCGCAGATTGGCACCAAATTTGATAAAAAACCTACAGCAAAACAATAGCCATCTATATCTACATTAGGCTATGGTTTTGGCGACAGATCTTGCTGTCGGGCAATTGGTGCCAAATTTGCAGCAATTACCCGACAACAAGCTCTACCGCACATCTGGCGGCAATTTGGCAACAAGATTTGATATAACAGATCCTGCATCAAATTTGTTATCTATTTGCCATCAAACGTTGATAGCAAGCTCTGCTCGAAATCTGTTCGCGCAGGTTTGGCTACCTAAGTAATCAATAATACAATTTTACAAAATTATTATCTCGTGTATTTGTTACGGTATTGTTTTACCTAATCCACTGCTTGCAGTCGTGAGACAGCATTAGGTAGCTTTGGGTTGTCATGAATCACATAATAGTAGTAGATAGTGATGTCTGTAACTTATTTCTGCTCTAGGAAAATGACTTGGAGAGGTATTATCGGAAACACCCACTATGAACCTTGGGTGTTTACGAAATATCCAGAGTTGGGTCGAGTTGAGTTAGTTCCACTATAGTATATGTAACGGATACTATAGTGGAACTAACTCAACTTGACCCAACCCTGGACATTTCGGAAATACCAACTATAAGGATATATTGGGTGCTTTCCAATTGCTTAACCATCTTGACACACACGTACACAAAACCAGTTTATTGGTCACATATTATCTAAAATATCTTGTAAGATAATATGCAACCAATAAACTGATTTTGTGTAACACAGTGTACGCAACTGGAAAGCACCCATTGATTGCTTTCCAACAAGAGACACAAATCGACACAAGTATCATCCTATCTTTATTACTCACTAAAGGTGGAACAAAGATAGAATGATGTTTGTATCGACTTGTGTCTCTTGTTGGAAAGCAACCATTATATAAGCGTAAATCATAAGAATATCGTTGGAGTTATTGGGGATCGCCGCATGACACTCGATCCTCAGGTTAAGCAACATTTTAATGGAGTCAGGACATGGATTAGTGACCGGTGATATACCGCTTCGGATTGAAACTATCGAGGGGAGAATTCACGAAAGTTTGGAGTGTGTGTTGTTAACAATCTTCGATATCTAAAATGATTTATGAGACATGAGAAAATTAAGAATTATAAATATATTTTTTAAATATTATGATTTTTTCTCATTTTTCATCTTCGCACAATAATTCTCAGTATTTACTATTAATTTACTATTATACTTTTAATTACTATTAATTACTATTAATTACTATTAATATTTAACAGTGATTTTATTATCAGTATTCACCAGAAATTAAGCACTGGCCAAAAAATTACTGAATTATTGGTAATACTTAATCACTAATAATTTTTCAGTATTTCTTATGGCTCCTGCACACAGGACGCGGTAATGCTTGCCGCGCGACAGCCAATCAATATGCTGCTTTCCGTAATAATCTTCTAGCTTTTACAGAAAAACAACATATTGATTGGCTGTCGCGCAGATTTCTGCCGCACGACAAGCATTACCGCGTCCTGTGTGCAAGAGCCATTAGTAGTTATGATTAGGTGCTTCTGCATTATGTTCGTTGGAATATGCGATGATAATGTTATCATATGTACATCATTCATATTTAAGCAATTGTTGTCGTCATGTTGCTGTCAACTTGTTGTCGACTCATGAAGAATATACGTGAGCACAATCCAACGAACATAGGCTGCGTTCCGAAATGCACTGCGAGTATTGAAAATCTATAGTTTATGTTACGTATATTATAGTTCAGTACTGGCAGTGAATTTCAGAACGCAACTATAATGTAGAAGCGCCTTGTCCCTACTTTTTCGAAAACAGTTGCTTCAACGGCTCTCAGCAACTTGACGGCAACTTCATAGACAGGTGGCTATCTAGGTATTATGTATATGATACATAGATGCATCTGCATTTATGCATAAATTTATCTGATACATATCCAATCTTATGGGAATGGCAAAAAGTAAATTAATTCACTTTTTCATATAGTTTTGATTACATCACTTATATATCCAAAACTACATTATGAAATTCACTGCCAGTACTGAAAATCTATAATTATTATGTGTACTATGTATCCAGATAGCCAAATCTGCGTGAACAGATTTCGAGCAGAGCTTGCTATCAACTTTTGATGGCAAATAGATAACAAATTTGATGCAGGATCTGTTATATCTTGCTGCCAAATTGCCGCCAAATATGCGGCAGAGCTTGTTGTCGGATAATTGCTGCAGATTTGCAGCAAAAACCGCGCAGAACTTGTAGCGATTTGACGGCAAATTGGCGGCAGAAACCGTGCAGACCTTGCTGCGCTGCAAGCTTTGAGCGGTTTTTGCTGCAAATTTGGCACCAATTGCCCGACAGCAAGATCTATCGCCAAAACCGTAGCCTAATGTAGACACAGACTAGGTGGCTATGGTTTTGCTGTGGGTTTTTGATCAAATTTGCTGCCAATCTGCGCGCAATCTGCGCTCAATTTGCTTACTGGGTAATTATTTCTGCCAGCTGCAAGTTCTGGATCAATTCTATGGACGTTTCTTTCAGGTACGTTTTCTTCATTTTCAACATGATTTTCGTTATATAAAAGTCTATATCTATAAAAGTCACCAAAGTCTATATCTTCATTATCATCGTTTAAATATAATAGCACATTTTCAGTAATGGACATATTATATAATATAGCACATGTATATATAATTTTAGATGCTGTTGGAGGAGAGTAATGCAATATTCTGTGCTTCAGTAGACATGTAAATCGTATCTTTTAAAGTCCATTGCATTGTTCTTAATTAATGCACGACATCTTATTTATTTTTTATTATATGCGGCTTTTGGAGTACCTTCGACAGCACCTAATATAGGTGTCATCATCCAAGGCCTGAGAGAATACTCCGAATCACCTGAAACGCAAAATGTTTCAATGTAATAATTTTTTATGTTATATTAAATATTAGTTTTCATGTGTTAATTTATAATTTTTACAAAAGATATTACTATTTCATATAAAAAATTTCCTTGCAAATATTGTAAATTTTTTTGCTATATACTTATATACATGCAACGTATTTCATATAAAGTACGACACATTTATATAGATATAGCACATTAAAGTTAGTAGGAAAGTATATATCATTTCGCAATTTTCGCAATAGTTATTAAATGAATATAACTGCGTAATGCCTAAGACTACCCACATGTTTATATACATGCCGTGCTCTCATACACTTATTTTCATTACTTTATAGGTCAATAATTATTGCGAAAATTGTGAAATGATAAAGAACTTTTCTGTTCAGTCGTATAGGCCATATCTCTTCACTTTACTTATGCTTTTTTTTACGTTTTATAACATTAGATCATGCATTATATATATATTCGCAATTTTTATCAATATCTTACCTACTAAATGGAAATTTTTGTGTGGATAGCGCCTATAAAGATTAATTATAGCGTTTTTTGCATTAGAGTTGTTCCATATAAATGTATCATGAGCGCTTCCAGAATAACGTCCATTAATGTGCATAATTTTCATCTGCCAGTCACATATCTATAATAAATATATACGTATTATAAAGATGCAATGTACACATATATAATATGTGAAATTTAATGTAACAAATGTATAATATTTAATTTATTGTTACCAATTAAGTATTAATTGAATGGTATCCTTTTCTGTTAACATATATATGTTCTGGGTAAACGTTATCATTCGCCGTTGGTGCGACAATAGCGATATGGGTACAGTCAATACACCTTTTTATTGTACCTGGGAATTCAAATTTCCTGTAGAATCTAAATTAACAAAACAAAGTAATATAATATTAATACTAGAATGTGTATATAATATACAAAATATGACTACATTATACTGATATATTTTATATTTATTTTTATATGTAAAAATAGAATCAATTAGATTCATACTGTGTTCGCAATTTGTTCAATTCTGCTAATGTACTAGGAAACTTAATCCACTCATTCATAATATCTGATCTTGTTATAATCTATAATTTCATGGATGCTGTGGGAGACTGTTGACTGGCTAACACTCATGAATATATTTTTACCAATGTTCATTTGGTAAGATCCAGTTGCAAAAAATCGCAATGCCGTTATAACCTGTACATTATAGTTTCTCAGATATTGTTCATTTTAATATGAATGACATAATAGCTTGTAATTTAGATCAATTTGAACAAAAAAATCTATCATTTTGCAAATTACCATGCAAATTTTTGAGTTATAAAATAAATAAATCATAAATTATATGTTTACATATGAATTATATATGAATTACATATGATTACATATGAAGTAAAGAAATCAATACATTGTCATTTTAAATAATCCAAAACTTTGCATAGTTTAGTAGAAGACTTTTGTGCACATTGATCTAGGTTGTATTTCAAAACGTCCTTTTTCAGACAATTTTACTCAATACTCTATAGTACATGTAACATTAACTTTAGATATTGAATAAAATTTTCCTCAAAAAAAGGACATTTTGGAATGCAACCGTAAAGTATATCAACAATGACATATTTAGTGACAGATATCTTGTATACATATATACATATGTATATGTTACACATCATGACATAATTAAAAAAATTTGCATGGTGGTTATTTGCAAAATGATAAATTTTGTGTACAAATTGACCTAAACTACAAGTATATAACAGATGACATGTTTAGTGACAGATATCTCTAATAGAAATATGACGTTGAAAATTTTCTTGAAATTCTCTCTTAAATGATGCCATTTCATTATAATTTTATCAATGTACTTAGATTTCAGTTAACTTTAGTAAATTTCAACTATATATTTTAACTTTATATTTGAGTATATATTATGAACTTAATGTACAGTGAAAGTTACTGAAATACATAATAAAAGATATTTCAAAATAATAAATAAAATCACAGTGAAATTCAATGTAATGCTGTGAAATATTATGAAAATTTATGTATAATACTGAAAAGTAATAAAACAATCTTTGAAATTAGATATTCTGAAATTTACTAAATTAAACTGAAAACTGTATATGTACTAAAATGGAATCAATTGAAAGATTATTTCAGAAAAATGTCCATTAGAAATCCTGTATATATTTTTAAGAATAGTTACCTTTGTTGTAGAATTTATCACAGATATTCTCGTTGGAAGAATCAAATGCAGTTCGACAATTTCTTTTAAATTTCTAGCAGCAGCTTTACTTAACCTGGATAATTGTACAAATTCTTTATTATTTAATTCGAAAGGATCCTCCTGAATATAAAATCTTCGTCTTCTTCTTTCTGGAATGTCTATACTTTCTAAAGCGTCCAAAATCGGCGCATTTATTATCACATCATCTAAATCCATTTTTATGTAGAAATTGTACATTTCTCTACAATGACTGCGTTCCGATATTTGTATATGTCGACATTCGTTCTTTACTTCTTTCGTACATTACTTCTTTTTCACTACTAAAACGTACACGTTTCTCTTGAAACGTCTAGTATGGACCATTCGTTGCATCCTGCGACTGTTAAGAATACTGTTTTAGAGATTTTCCATTGCGATTATTCGTAATTTACCACTTATGTATACACAACTATTTCAAGAATAGGATCCTAGGGATTTTCCTTTGCGATCATTCGCAATTTGCTACTTACGTACACACAAATATCTCAAGAATAAGATCCCTGGCCACTGAGATCAGGCCGGTGGTCGCTCTTAGGTTTCTCTCTGGTCACATGGAGCTGTAATGTTTGACGCATGCGCACGGAAATTCGGTCGTATAAATTTGTCCCTCCACCTCCGATTACGAATAGTGGGAAATTTCTCTGTATCTAGCATCGTTGTCGAGCGGTGGCGTCGTGAGAACATGGTGAACGTCAAAGTGCAGTCGAGCGTGTCTCGTGTCTCGATCCCCGATCCAAATTATTCCGAGTCATTCGCAGTTGTTTGCCGAGTCATTGCGATAAAGTGTGCGATTTGGCATGATATTGAAACGAGATGTGATCTGTGAAACAGTTTTCTTCCTTGATGTTTGGCTGTTGGTAAGCCTTTCTCCTCTTTTTTGGCAATGTCGATTCTTCTCGCGCTTATTTTTCACTCGATAAATACTGCAGACAAAATGTTCAATCGATTTTTTTCGACTCCTTTAATTTATATATTATTGTAAATGGAAATTAGAACGCGCGTATACAGAGAACTCATTGCTGTTCATTGCTACTAGTCACTAGTTTACTATGTTCAATTTTGCAGTGCTGTATTGAGGTTATGATTTCTGTCAAAGTGATCTATACGTGTTTTGACATTTTCTCGTTCGGTGATTGTTCATGTTTGAAAATAATGCACCGAATTTTATTTCATTCATTAACGCTTGCTGTGCGGTGCTACATTTAATTTTCCCAATTAACATGTTTACTACTTTTACTTAGTTCGACTTTTGAAAGAAATGATTTTTTATATTAAAAAACTATTTGTTTTAATAATCAATTTCGAGTTTAGAAAATGTTGTGTCAGAAATATATTGTAATGTATATCTCTGAGGAAACTGAAAGAATCAAAGTATCATTGAAATGCTCAAAGTGAGTTATCAATGTTTTCTTCAGCATAATTAAGGCTATCTTTGGCTCTTAATGACAGAAACACATGTAGCAAATCTTTGATTACTGAAGTGAGCTGCAACAGTGTTGTTTTATTTTAAGAACTTATAGAATTATAAAATAAGATAGCCAGTAAATTGACACATTTATTTTGAAACAGGCTCCTAGTATGTTATGACTAAATTAATTTTATCCAATGCATGTACACGTGAACTCAACCTAATTAATTTAGAACACATCAACCTGTCTAGAGCAGTAATGGTTTCACAATGACAAATGTCTTATAACCTCAAAAAATAGTGCTTCAAAACAATATTTCAGATGCTAATATATTTGCAATGAGAAATAACAAATTTTGGGTAAATCTTGATATTATACACATAATAATATGTAAATAATAAGTGATGATATAAAAAATAAAGGAGTTAATTTTTCTTAAGAAATTTCATTTTGGACTCAATATACATATAATTTCATAAAATTTCTTTTGATCAATTACATGAAATAACATTACATAATATTTCTGTGTATATATATTATATTTAATATTTAATATTATATATTATACTTAAAATTGTAAGGAAATAATATTAGGAAATTATATTAGTTACTAAATGTAAGAAGATAATATCTAGTAAACATCAACTAACAGTAACATTACATCAATGTTATGATTTCCTGCTCAACAATATAATTGTCACAATATAATACATGTTATATCATTGTCACGTTGTTAAATATGGAATTATAACATTCATGTTATGTCATTGATATTTATTGATAAAGTTATATACATTAATTTTTGTTTACTATAACAGGACTGAAGTCTTAATATTATTCCACCTGGATACTCCATATTCATATTATTCCATCTGGAATTCTGCTTCCGTATATGACACTAAGACTTGTGTGAGAACGTGTCTTCCTTGATCTCCCATCTGGTAATATTGTTAACAAAATGGATACTTCAATGCGGGAAAGGATACTCAGTTTTGCAGATGTCATAATGAGAGTGCCGCCTCTATTTATTATTGATGAGATACTCAGGATTGATTTGGGTTTACCCAACAACAACATCTCTTTAGATAGTCCTGAGAATGATTTCAAAACCACCAACATACCGGGCACAATTGTTAATTCCATTTCCTCAGTTACAACAGATTCGTTCCTAATGGAACAGTTTGAGCTGAGTCAGTTTGCTTACAAAGCTTATTTGATAATCGTATTTAAATTTTTATGCTGTTGTCTAGGTGAGTAGAATTCCTTTGTGTAACATCTTTTTTAGTAACTTCCAAACAAGTCAGATATTTACTAACAAAAGAATCTCACTCTGCTATATTATGCAGCTGGCAGTTGTGTAGTGGGGTTAATGTCAACAGGTCACTGTATCTGAGAAAAAGGGCAATCTATTTTTGATGACAAAGACATAAACGATACTTCTCATTGAAGATTGATGAAATTTGAAATGTACAAAAAACACGGAAAAAAAACTTAACGAAAACTTGCGTTACGTATGTAATTTTATCTCGAGTTCTCTTCGACTGATAAACATATATCAGATAAAATCTGATCTATCTTATTTTACTTTCGTACTTTGTCGTAATCTTGTTTACAAATACTCATATTTTATATAATGCAATCTTTTTAGACACTGATAATTAGACTTAGACAATATCTTCTTAGATATTGATATCTTGGATGGATTATATAATTTTTAGTGAAACTTTAAAAAGACGAACAATTAAGTACTATATAACTTATGTGTGATACTATGTATATCTTGAAAACAAGATAAAAGGAGGAGAGAGAGGAATGGGGGAGAGCAAGAGAGAGAGATTACACATACAGAATATCCATTTTCTTGTTTGCAATACTTGCAAAATTGTATTTATTATTCTTAGATCTGTTAATTTTAGTTGAACTAGGTTGCACTTTTTGCTTTTAACCTTTAGATTGCTGGGAAAGCCACTTTTGTGGCTATAAAGCCACTTTTGTGGCTTTGCCGGCAGTCTAAAGTGAGCCAAGTATTTAATCTAGCTTGTTGGCTGAGGCAGTATTTTTCGTAATTATTAAAGATGAGTTGATTAATTCATTATTTAATTGGGAATTGGAAATTTTTAGATTAGTTAAGATTAATAAAGATTAGTTAAGATTAATAATTGAGATTTAAGATAAGTTTTAGAAGGTGGGTTCTTCGCATACGTTGCAATTCCGGGAAAAATCGTGTTAAAAAATATAACTGTTATCTCTGATTTAAAAATGATTATTCACACTAATATCCGCGATTGACTCTTGATTGCTTTATTTCTCTTACTTTTGATTTATTTCAATTAAAGGAAAAAGGAAGAAGTTTTAGTGCAGCATTAGTTCAACTAAAGAAGATCAGATTTCTTATTTTACAAGATTGGTACAAATAAATAATAAAATGAATTCTATACGGTCTCCCAGAACAACTTTGTGAACATAAAAAGTGAACATAAAAGTCTTATATTCCATTTTGCGATAATTATTGAGATATTAATTAAAGAAGATTTTTGAATGATCATGTAAGATATGCTGTGTAGATGAGCTGTAGCGACATCTGCTTGATTAGACTGAACATCTGATAGATCTGTTACATCTGAAGACCTGCTACATTAGACTTAATTAACATTAGACTTATTAACAAAAAAGTCCTCTACCTTTCTCCTAATAACTTTGTAGATTTAATATTAATATCGTGAGCGACCATCTGCTAATTTTCTTTAATTAATAATCAAAAGTCTACAAAGTTATGAAAATGGTAGAGGACTTTTTGACTTAATATACTTTCAGTTTGACCTAATATGACAAGCACACAGTGGCAGACGTCGCCACTACAACTCATCTATTATATTGCGGGCGATTATTCACAAATTTTCTTTAATTCATACCTCGATAATTATTGCGAATATCACAAAACGATATTGGGCTTCAATGTTATGTACTTCAATCCATACTATGCTTCCTTCGAATATTGTTCTGAGACACCCTGTATATATATACATATGTAATATATATATACATATGTAAAATTATATAATTGTGTGTGTGTATGTGTACAGGGTGTTCCCAAAAGGTGGTACTAAATTTTAGGGATATGTAGTACTCGTTAAAACAAACCAAAAACTCTTAATGAACAGTACTCCAAAAACCTTTTATTTCTGAGTTAGGAAGCATTTTATTCTGTGAAAAATAGAAAATAACTAAAATTTACAATAAATGTTCAATGTGTCCTCCGTTCATTTCAACACACAATTCGGCACGTCTCATTGAAGATCGAACACGTTCAAAGATTCCGGGTTTATTCTGTATTTGTGCCATTGCCCTTTGCTCTGCCACACATAAAATGAATATCCATCATTTCAGAATTTGTGTAAAAATTAGCCATTTTTCAGATAACACAAAACTAGACACAGTCCACAATCCAAAATTGAATACAACAATCCCTGCGTAATTAGGTGGTTACATACGGGCGTCCGTGAATAAACTGACTAAGAGACTTGGAAACTGTTGTCAACAAATACGAAATAAACCTGGACTCTTTGACTTTTAATGACGAAACATGCCGAAATGTGTATTGACATGAGCCAAAGGCACATTGAACATTTATTAAGATAAATAGATTAAATTTACTTTCTATTTTTCACAGAATAAAATGCTTCATAACTCAGAAGTAAAAGGTTTTTGGAGTACTGTTCATTAAGAGTTTTTGGTTTGTTTTTACGAGTACTACATACTTACTACGAGTACTACCCCTAAAATTTTGTACCACCTTTTGGAAACATCCTGTATAAATAAATAAATATATATATATATATATATATATATATATATATATAT